AGCCAAATTTTTTATGATAAAATTGTTGTAAGGATTTTATTTCATCCATCTGATTTTATCAATACTGGGCCGATGGGTAATTGAAGTGCACGGTCGACAAGGCTTGGATTTTCAGTATTTACTAAGTGAATGTAATCTGAAGCTGTGGAAATTGTGAAATCACAAACATTACCTAGAGATCTTTCCGTGCAAAGGACATATCTGGCAGTAAAACTTACATTCATCTAGCCTTGTGAGAACATAGAGTTATAAACTCGCCAGCATTAAAATATCCTCAGGCAAATCCTTGATCCTTAGACAAATCCTTTGTGAAAACATGCATTAAATATATTTTACTTTCGCTTGGTGCGACACGAGACAAAACTGCTTTTACATTGTAACGAGACAGTCCATGAGGCCTTGCGGCCCTGAGATTAGTTTTGAGTCGAGTCCGTGCGGTTGAGGTAAAGCAACAAATACTGTTGTCTTTATGATTAAATTAAAAAATCGTTTTAGTTCCTTTCATACATATTTCTTTCGATTATTTTAATTGATCAGTTGAAAAACATAATTTTATAGTTTAATAATAAAAAATGATGAATATGTTCCTCTGTCTAGAATACCAGTGCTCTAAATCTAGTGCTATGGCTCCCTTTGGTCGACAACATGAGACGTAGATAATATCAATCCAACGACCCCATGTATTTCAAAACTAACAATTCTTGAAGGGTTTGTGTTATTTTGATTTGTTACCTTGGGATTTAAAGTAGTTGCAGATGACTTGAGGCAGTCTGAAAAAATCTGATAAAAACCTGTGTCTTGAATAATCAATTCACCTCCATTTTTAAACTGAAATGTGATAAATGCGACATTACTGTATTTGCATGGGATAAGTTTCTAAGTTTAACGCATTTTTCATTATTATGCTCAAGATTGTCATTATAGTATTTGTTACGATTTGTAATAGTTATTTAATCTATTTATGTCAATGTCATGTATCTTTTTAGACACAGGATTTTGATTGTTGGCAGGATCAACTACATCCATTTTAACCTTCTCATTGAAATTGATGACACCATTCTTAACCGCGTACATCTTATCCTAAACACTTGTTGAGACATCATTGTGATACCCTATAACACCATAAACAACAACAAGTACCTGCAAATCTTGAGAATGCTATGTCACACATGATGGTCTGCGGTTTTGTTACTATTATGCGCACGCATGCCATGTGCGCCTGTCGTTGAATGTAAACCGTCATGTTTGATTTAAACTTGTTGTGTTGTACTATGTTGATCCATTCAATTCCGCGAAACACAACAGATTGGCGACGAGGATTTAGATCCTACGCAGCAACCAGAGAAACTTCATGCTTTCGCCACTATGCCGATTGGAAAGATTGAAACGTTTGACGAAACGAACGACGATTGGAACGCCTATGTGGAACGTATAAAGCAATACTTCATCGCCAACGAAATCAAGGACAACAAGCAAGTGGCCGTAATGCTAAGCTTAATGGGAAACAAAATGTATGGATTACTACGCAATTTGGCCGCCCCAGCCAAGCCATCCAGCCAGTCTTTCAAGACTATCGTAGAAACACTACAGAAGCATCTGTCACCGAGACCACTGCTCATAGCAGAATGATTCCGCTTTTACAAAAGGAACCAACTCGAAGGTGAAACCGTAAGTTCTTACCTTGCTGAATTAAAGAAATTGTCGCTGTATTGTGAATTCGGAACTAACTTGAATGACGCGTTAAGAGATAGACTAGTGTGTGGGCTACACAATGAACTTATCCAGAAACGGCTACTCTCCGAGCCAGATTTGTCATCGGCCAAAGCGTCAGAAATTGCCTTAGCAATGGAAGCGGCAGCAAAAGGCACACTAGAATTGCAGGGTAACATTTATAAAGAGTCTGAAGTCAACAAAATAAACAAGGATAGCGAAAGAGTTCCTAAAGGGAAAGATGATGTCAAATCAAAATCTCAGTGTTATCGATGTGGGGGTAGTACTCATAGGTCAGCCGAGTGTTACTTCAGGAATGAAACATGCCGAAAATGCGGGAAATTATCAATACCAAAGAGTATGCCGCACAGAAAGAGTCAAAACTCTACCCGAAGACGAAGGGACGAGAACCCCAACCTTCATTCGTTCGAGGTAGATGATGAGCGCGATGATGATAGCTTGGTGGCATCCCTAGAAGTCAACAATGTTAACCATGGGGTAGTTGGTGACGTCATCTGGGTGAAACCAAAAGTTAATGGCCACACACTGAAGATGGAGCTAGACACAGGTTCAGCGATATCTACACTCCCCTTGGAGACGTATAAGGAAACCTTCCCAAACAGACCTCTGGTTGACACTACCGCTATTTTGAAAACCTACCTAGGAGATATTAATTGATTAGTGAAAAAGCCCTATTCTCTGCTGCCTAATTGGTGTTATCTAATAACAATAATAATAATAATAATAATAGCGGTCTTTATACAGGGGGCTCACGTCACTGGAAAGTGGTGTTCTGTGAGGCCCTGTAAAATAAAATAATAGTCATCATAAATAGATAACAAGTTAAAAACATAAAAACTATGAAATACACTTAAATATGTTTACAAAAGGTGCTTGGTTATTTAATCAAATAAAAAGTGGAATTATTAAAGAATTGTACAACGTGACTCGCACTTCTGATAGTAAAAGATGTTTGGCAAGTCTCAATGAGCCGATCCTTTGATTTATTTTGGCAATTAATGATTTGATGTGTTCATGCCATGTCATGCTGTTATGAATGACTACACCGAGATATTTGATTGAATCTGTTCGTTCAAGTTCTTCATTATCTATTTCCAGCTTGATACCTTGGTCGTTTGCGACTTGCAATTGTTACCAAACAATGAAAACTTTGATTTTTGAGTGTTCAATGTCAGATAGGTACTGTTAAACCATTCAGCTAAATTGCAAGGTCGACATTTAGGTGGTATTGAATATATTGACTGTGTTTTCCACTAAAGTATATCACTATGTCGTCTACACACAAGATCGTTGACATAGATGAAAAATAGCAGAGGGCCGAGAATGCTACCTTGAGGTATTCTAACGAGAACCTCACAAGGATGGGACTGGCAGCCTTCAACAGATGTTACGTGGTACCGACTATTAAGGTATGGGGCAAACCACTCTACGGCTTGGGGGTCAGTGCCAATAGCCTTGAGGTTTTCAAAAAGAAGTGCATGGTCCACAATATCGAAGGCCTTGGAGAGGTCTAAGAAAACTGCTCCAGCAAAACAGCCGTTATCAAGACTGAAGTATGTTGTCAGCGAAATGGGCTAGAGCAGTTACTGTTGATAGCATGGGGCGGAAACCAAACTGATTTGCCGTAAGCTGTTTTGAGTCTGATTAAAAAAACTGTACAGTTGCTGGTGTACAGCTCGTTCAAGATTCTTGCTGATGGTTGGGAGTACAGTTATCGGTCTGTAATTGTTACAGTCCATCCTTTCGCCCGTCTTAAATTAAGCAGACACTACCAATTTTCCAGATCAACGGGAATGTGCTTGCCTCAAGTGACCGGTTGAATAATTTGGTCATTATAGGTGCCATACACTGAGCCGAATCCGTTAATAATCGTGCACTGAGACAATCTAATCCTTTAGCTTTGTTAGTTCGTAAAGCTTTCAGTTGCTTGAGACCAAAGGATTCAGTGATAGTAGAAAAAGTAAACAAGTTTTCTTTGCCAAAAGAGTGAGAGTAGGTGGGTGAGAAAAACGTTTTACTTTTGTTAACTGTAGATTTAAGTTTTTCTTCAATTTTCATCGCCAGCTTGTCTCCAATAAGAGAGAAATGCACATTTAGAACCCGGGCTATAGCGCTTTTTTCAGTGTGCAAAATGCCATCTGCCTCAATTAAAGACACGGTCGAGTTGGACAAGGAAAACTCATTAACTGTCTTCCAAAGCTCCCTGGGATTACTATTGTTCTTGTTAATGAAATGCGAGTAAATTTCGATTTGCATTTTTTCACCTGTTTGTTTACAAAGCCCTTGATCTTTTTAAACATTTCCCAGTGGTATCTTAAGTTCGTTTTTCTTGCCTTTCTATGATGAAAATCTCAGTCACGCATGGCATTTGACAGGTCAGATGTCATCCAAGGTGTTTTTGTTCCTTTTATGCAAGTTTTCTTGTTTGGCGCAAGTCTGTTAACAATATCAGTAAAAAGGATGTTCCACATTTCCACAGCAGGATCTACATCTCCATTTACATCAATAATGTCCCAGTTAGTTTCAGCTAAGTCCTTGATGAAGGTTCCTTTATCATACTTGTATAGCAAGCCAAATGGTGAAAAATTCAAGAAAAGATCTTTCAACAAGCTAAATCACAATCAACGATGTGAATGAATAAAATTCAAAAGAAAAATATTTCAGCCACATTCAACAAGTCAAATTGCACTTAAGGATGTTTAAAATTGATAAAATTTAACAATGGAAGAAGAAAAACAATCACATTCATCTGTATACGATCACAAGCAAGAGAAGTGCGGAAAATCGATCTACAAATCCCATGAATCTTTGCATGGTATATTGACGGGGAATGGGAATGACGAGAGACAGTTAAAGGTGGCTGACAGTATTTCCTCCTTCACGGATGATTGGGAAGGGTTCTTTCAGTCGCTTGTGGATCTCCTAAACGATTGTGAGACGTCCTCAGTTTCAATTAGTGCTACCAGAGAAACTATCACAGTACGTTTGGAACATGCTGTTCTTTCTTCACACTAAATCCTACCTCTAGTTCCTGGAGGGTCTGAGTGTGGAACCTTTCTGCGAGAGCTCTAAAACAACTTCACTTTGTTATCCATAGAATGGACTAGACGACAAGAAAACTCACACAGTGTACTAATTTGGCAATTTCCTCTCTGGAAACTCCTCTAGTAATTCACACAGGTTCTTTCGGCCGGCCAAGATTGCAAATAAGCAGAGATGCATTAACCCAGTTAAGGTCCTTGGGATTTAAATGGAAGCACCAAGCAAAC